CGAAATCTTGCTAGGAGAATAAGACGCGAGCGAGTGAAACGAGGAATGACCGATTCCAAGTGTTCGAATAATCTATGGTTCGTTAACGATTGTTGATTAAGTTGGCTGAGTTAAATATTGGACGGGGCGTAACACTTTTGTAAATAAACCTTTCTTACAGGCTGATAAAAAAGAGATTGTAACCGGGTTCGTGTATTGCAAATCTAAGCAAGATAAACAATCGCCGACTAAAGAAGTTGACAGGAGGGAGAAGTTGCTTGTGTAACTTATCCTCTCGACGCTGCGAGAAAAACAATTTGAACGTTCAACGTTTCCTCCTTTTTTTATCTTAAAACCAGGAAGTCAGAAATTTCGCGAACATTTTCGTTCGAGCTTCAACGCAGAATATTTTTAATAAGGTTTTCTCTAGGAAAAGAAAGAAAACGAAAATCAAAAATCGATCGCTTTCTTACTCACTTACGTACGTGTGCAACGCGAAACGATTTCACGATTCTTAGCCACCAGCGAGAAGGTTGGAATCTCCAGCCTCGACCCTTTTCCCGTGGAATTTCCCGTCGAAATTTCTCGGCGGAAATTCTGCGCGGGTCGGTTCCGCTCCTTCGACGCTTTCAACGCCTTCACCCACTCGTTTCAATTAAAAAAATTACTGCCGAAATTCCCAAGATTCCTGAGATACTGGGCAGCTGTGAAATACCTACGAGGATGAGCGCCAGGCCGACGATAGTCCCAGCATAACGCTTCAATTGTCGCCCCCGTTATGTTAATACGCCGACAATTTCATCGCCGGTATACACGCGTATCTAATGGATCTGTGGATAATTGGAAGGGTGGCGGGGGTCACGGGGAAGCAACGGACCGATGACAATGCCATAACGCAAGAGGGCTTCGCGTAACGACTCCCCCTCCCACCCACGCTGCTCCTACTAGCTCTACTAGCTCGACAATGTATACAGGGTGTCTTGTAACAAATGGGTGATATCGGATCAGTGAACAAGTTGCGTATGCGATTTTAATCTCGGTAAAAGGAAACAATTTCGAGTGTTATTGTTCCCGATAAATTTGTTTTAATGTTTTCTCGACTCGATCGACGACTCGAGCAATTAAAAACATACTGAATATAATAGGAATATAATAGGAATATAATAGGAAAAGAAGAAATTTTCGAAAAGAAATGTAAAAATCTGTTCGTCCAATGGAGAAAGAAACGAAAGCAAATATAATTGCGAATTATACCATTGCAAAAAGGAGAATGCTTCGCCAGATATCATATTCTGAAGCATTATTCCAGTTTGTAAAGTAAATAATAATTAATCGATTTAATTATATAATAAATAATAGTTAAAATAATAGTAAAAAAATCTGCATAATAAATAAATGTTTAAGAATACTTTATAAATGTGAGTTAAAAAGTGCATGATATAGTTTTTTCTAGAGCGCTCAAAAATGTGCGAAGCTTGGAGTGGCGCACGCAACGTTAAGAGGATCATATTTCTAAAATCGAAACATCGTCACGAGATTATTTTGTGTTATTATACACAGATGCGTGACCACGTTTGATTTAGTATTTATGATACGTTTTGGATAGATGTTGGAAGACAATTCGATTCTGTGTTCGATTCGAGAAAGCAAGGAATCGTGGTTCGCGATGAATGATGGTGAATTAAGCGGGATGAAAAGAAAAAACGTGGTGAATCAGATGGTGCATTGAAAAGCGTGTTCTCAAAATAAAGTACTTTCTTGTTCGCCCCGTTCCCACGAATGAAGGGCATGATTCATGTGAATGGAACGGAGCGTAGCTCTTTCCGTAAGAAAAGTGGAAAAAAATGGTAAATGATCGCTGTTCTTTGAACTTTCCTCATCCTTCGTTTCATAACTTCTTCCTTACGAGTGCATACGATTTTGTTTTATCGTCATGACAGCGCTACGTGGATTTAAAAGTAAAAGTTCTTCGTGGGCGTGGACAGATGGCGAATTCTTTCGCGCGAATATAATTTAATTTCATTCAAACGCGTTCAAACATTCGAGTAACGTGGAGAAAATATCGTCGTGTTATGCGAAACATATGCACAAATTCGTAGACTTTACGTTGCGATAACGAATTATTGATTCGCGAATAGTTACAAATGAAACTTTGACTTTTCGTGTAAAAAATGCAAGGAATAATAACTAAAAATTGCCGTGTAAGCCTCTTTTTGTTTCATCCCGATATCTCAATCGGATACCGAGATATAAATACTCAAACTTTTCATACCGCTTAAGATAGCAGCATTATGAATGAATTACGATCCGGTGACCTATATTTTTTCCAGGAATCCTGTCATTTATCTTGAATAGGTCAATGAGGCTTAAGCAAAAAAATCCGGATAAATGACAAGGACGAAAATAATAAAATAATTAAAAATTATCTTTTTCTTTACACGATAATATCTCTCGATAATAATGGAAAGTTGTATAAGAATAATTAAGAAAACATTTTAAAAGGAAAAGATCCCCGCTTCTAATGATCTAATTCATTCGTTGACCGAATATTATCAAGTTATAGCTTCGAGGTTACAGCGATTCAAAATTTTCCTGAAATTTTAATGGAATTTAAAATAAACGATTAAAAATTACCTTTCCTTCGAATTGAAAATCGTCGAATATATCGAAATGAATCGGAAAGCATTTCAAAGTTATAAAATAAAGTTCCGTCCGTCCAATAATTTCTCAGTCGAACGGAAATCGCTACCTTTTCAGAATTATATAATTCGAGGTTGAGAAACTCTGTCCCGTTACGTAGAACGGCGACCATTCGTTATTCCAATCAAAAGAAAATTACGAAATCTCAATCACGTTGAACGCCTCGGGAAAAAAGAAAGCGGGAACGCGAAAGTAACGAAGAACCCACCTCGCCGTTCCTTGTCCGCGCGTTGTCCACCGGTAGCCGGCCACCAATCACGGCGACCGAGGCGAGCCGCGTATCGCGGTTTGCTCCTTTTCTCGGCTTCAGCTTCGCGAATCGTGTCCAGTGGCTCACGCGAGGCGGACACAGGCGTGTCGCGTGGCTCGGGCTTTGTGCACGCACGCGGCGCCGGTAGCGAGGAGAGAGCTCGTTGAATCGAATACGCGAAACCGAACGCGACTACCGCTCCATTCCCCTCTCCCTCTCGCCCTCCTCCTCCTCCTCCTTCTCCACCTCCACCTCCACGCGAGTGCGTGCACGCGCCTGTGTGCAAGCTGGCGCTACGCTGGTCCGCGCGCAGACCGCAATCCAACCGACGTACAACATGTTTATGTATCGCAGGCAACATTAACATTGCAATTTATGCGCGCTTTAACTGGCCCGCAGCCCTTCCACCTCTTCGACCCTCGTCCTCCATCCTCGCCACCGGCTGGCCCGCTTAACACGACCGCGAATTTACCAACGCGGTTCGACGTACAAGTTCACTCACCGCAGGAGGGCCGATCTCTCTCTCTCTCCTTCTCTCTCTCGTCGCCACGGTTTCGCCTCCGCCCACCCTCGCGCACTTCCTCCTCTAAAGTCGACCGCTTTCGTCGACCCGCCCGGTATTTATATGTATTTTCGTCGTCGATCGTTACTTATCGTTTCCGGTCCTCGTGGAATTACGATCCTCACCGCTTATTAAATTTGAGGAGACGCTCGAGTGTCTCGTTCCCGTTCTCGTCGTCGCCAGAAATGGAACAAACGCCACGGTTTGGACGGGCGTCCTGTATTTCTCCAACGTTTTATTGCCGCCAAAGATCGCAAGGGAATGGGGACGGTGCCGCGGCCAAGTTTAGAGGCGTGATTGAATTCGAGGAGAGGAGAGCGGACGAGGAGGTCGGTTGGCGAGATTCGAGACCTCGAGCGTGATGGAATTCTGATTTCATTGCTCCCTATATACGAATCTATATATATATATATATTCCTTTCATTTTCCGATAAACCTCCACGGATTACTCCACTCCCGTACCACTTAACATCCTTGAAAAATCTGCCGCTAGCTCGCCGATTCCCATCATTAGAGACGGAGCGTCGCGATAAATTTCAATCTTCCGGCCGGGTCCTCGCAAGAACGCCTCGCCTCGCGACAAAAACGCGAACCCGCCCACTCCATTAAACATTCCACCGGGCGTAGAGATTTATTTCTTTCTAAAACTGTTACGTGTAGAGTTTACGGCCCCCTCCCCGGCCAGGCGAGGGGGGAACCAGACCCTATCCATCTCCCGCGCTCTTCGACCCGCTCCATCCAAGTTTTCGCGACGATGGGGGTGCGAAATAAACGCGTCTCGTACGTAAGGCGACGTCACACGTAAAAGCCTCGTGGTCGGGCTAGCCAACTCTCGGTACACTTTGCGAGCTTTTCCTCGGCCCGTTTACACCTGACGAGCCGGGGCCGCCTATCCGGGGTCAATGGGATGGAAAGCGGCGGGGAGGTTTAGAGAAGGGTGTCGCGAGGGTTACGCCGTTCCACCGCTGTTTTTTTTAACACGAGCGTGTTACCATGGCGTGAAGAATTATGGCCTCGGATGTAAACGCGTGTTTCGAAGCCGGAGAAGAGGAATCGATTTTCCGCCTTCCGAGCTGGGACGAGTGGTCGAAGACGAGCACGTGGTAGCTCGTCTCGAATCAATTGGCTGGTTAAGGACGTAATTCCATTCTCCCTTCGAGGTTATACATCTTTCTCTCTTTCTCTCGTCTCTCTTTTTTCCTTCTTACTACAAGTGTTACACGTCTTGTTGCTCGAAGGAGGTTCGAGCGAAATATAGAAAGTGCGTGATATCGGAGGATTCTTTGTCACCTCGTGCATCGTAGAAAGCAACACTTCTCGACACGATCTTAATTATTGGAAAGATTGTTGGTCGACAGACGGTCAGTTTACTTTTTTACCGTTTCAAACCGCGTCGTTGTCTCGTCGCCAATTGCGGTTAATCGAGAATCATCATCGATCGGCAAGACGCCTGGATCGTTAAGCGTCGTCGATTTCGAACGTCGCCCCCCCCATCGTGCGCATACTCACATATGTCTATGGTTCGTCCTCCGCGGAAACAGAGGATCGATAGATAGAAGATGAGGCACGTGTGCAGGTAGTCCATGGTGGCGTCGATGGATGGTCCGCTATCCACTGGTCATCGAACTCTTCTCATAACCGTATCTGCAACAACACACCAAGAGAACACGGATGAGAAAGTGGGGACGACGCCAGGAGACGTAAAACGAAGAAAATAAAAAAGGAGCGAAGCGGATGAGAATTATACAAACGAGATCCTTCGTTCCTCGATCCACTGGAAGAAAGCAATTAAACGTGCGTTTCCTGGAAACTTGCGGCGGGATACTTGTGGGGGAGAAGAAGAACACGTACGCAGAAAAACAGGCTGGAAACGGCCGTTCTTCCCCGTGCATTTCGCCGGGGTGAAATGGCGCGCGGCTCTCGCACCGGACAGATATACGACCGGTACACCGGCCACGGACAAAGAGCTACATTCACGCCGGCAGCCATTACGCGTCATTATCGAGATTAGGATCGGGAATGTTCGGGCGATGGGAAGAGAGTTAGAGCGGGAAGGGAAGGAAGGAAGAGGATGGAAAAAGAGTTGTTGGCTGAGCTCAAGGCGTTGCGAGATAACAGGGGGCGAGAAGGAGGAGGAACGGCGTGGGGCCCTTTTTGGCCCGTCGTTCTTCTCTTCTCGACGAGGGGGCGAGGCCTCGTGCGTACACCGGATGGTTATGGAGAGAGGGTGTGAGCCATGGGAGCCAAGGGGATGGAAGGAAAGGAGAGGACGTGCACTTTATTCACGGTGGTGCCGTCGTGGCGGAGAAGAAAAAAAGCGAAGGAGGAGAAGGGGGGGAGGAGGAGGAGGAGGGCAGGGGATCCTGGCTTCACTTTTTGGCTAATTAACGGCAGTTTCTTCGACTACCGTCTACTTTGCGATGCTTATCTGGCAAGTTTAGGGACCATCTCCCTCCCTTTCCCATGCGTGGCTCGTTATTCAACGGCCCGTGAAAAAATCCTCGGCTCGATGACGCGTTTCTTGCCCTCCTCCTCCTCCTCGTCTTCTTCTTCTTCTTCTTTCCTTGCGTATCGCGGCTGCCATCGCGAATAATCTTCCGACCGCTCGGAGACCAAAGGAAGAAGGAGGCATTCCACGGATAATCGTTTGGATATCGGAGGATAAAAAGAACGAGGCCCCCGGTGATTTTAATGAAGTCGTCGTCGGCGGCTGGAGAGATGAAGAGAGAGAGAGAGAGAGGATCCTCCGTAGGAATCGTCTCGGGAATCCTTGCTGCTTCGCGTGTTTGCCCTCCTCCTCCTCCTCCCTCCCCCTCCGTCTCTCTGTCTGTGCGCACGGATCGGCCACTCGGGAACGGCATTCTACTTAATCGGTAAATGGGGAAATTCCATCAAGATTCGGTGAATGCGACTGCGACAGCTCTATAGAGGCGCATAATCGATTAAGTGGCTGAATCGGATTATCCGACCGGCAATTAAGATACCATTCAGCATGAAGCGGTTACGTTGGTACCGGACCGGTGTCGGGGATAGCACGATCACAATGCGGGGAGGGATCGATTAGTCGACGCAGTAATTAAGGTCACGTCGGGTGCAACGGAGCACTTATTCCTTCGATTCACCGCGTTTCGACGCGCGATTAATCGTCGAGGTCGCGGGATCTGTTAGAAATCTGTCCTCGTTCCCCTCGATATCGATCCTCCTCGGCTTCTCCTCTCGCGTTCCTCCCCCTTCCTCCTCTCTAATTTCGCAACTTTTCAACCCCCGGGTCCGGCGGATTCCAGGTGAAAATAACTTGGACGCGGGGATTCCTATAAATTTCGATCGCGAATCTATATCCAGAGAAGCGTGGAAGAAGGTGGTGGTGGTGAGTTTATAGTTTTGCTAGTGGAAACGGCACGGTTCGCGCTATTTCCAGCATTGGCGCCGACTTAACGTCTCCTGTAAATCTGGCGGTCCGTGATACCGGCTTGAAAACGAAGAAATCACGTGGATTTAGTGGGCCGGGTTTGTTACCACGGATACACGCGCGCACGGCCATCTTTCATCCGCCACGAAACACCACCAACGGTTTCGCGGGGCCGTGGTGCATAAAGTGCCCTTGTACGAACTCCGTTCGCTCGATTTCCACCTTGCTCGCTACTTTCCTCCTCTTGAAATAACTCATCGTTCATAACCTTCTTCCTCTTAACGCGTTCGATCTTCGTTCCTCTACTCCGGCCGGCAACCCGGCCCTGATTTATAACGCCCGCGTCAAAGCGAAGGCCGAGAGAGAGAGGGAGGGAGAGGTTTTTCGACGGGAGCTAAATTAAAACACTTTTGTAAAACTCTTGAAAGCCTTGCTTCCATACCGAAATTCCAATAAGATTTCGCGAGAAGACTTTCGCTAATTTGAACGCAATTAAAATAAAAACTCGGAGATGAGCGATTTTCTTGAAAGGACCGTTGCGAATAAGGAGGCGGGCGAAAAAAGTGGGAGAACTCGCGTGCAAGTATCCCTCTTCTCCTCCCCTCCCGAACCGCCGACGTTTCTGGATCGTTAACCAACGGGGCTCTCGTCGAGAAACTCTCGAGCGAGAAACGGGCGAAAAAAATTTGTATCCAAACTAGTTTCCCACCCCACCCTCCCTCCTCTCGGGTAGTAGTTTCGTGGCCGGTTAAAAAATATGACGCACTCGCCACCATCGATAAATCCTGAGAACGTCGGCCATCCCATTAGGAGCCCTAAGTTTTTTAATCATTTCCAACCTCCATGGAAATCGTCCGCGATATCGTCGCTGGTGAAAGAGAGAGAGAAAAAATATATGATATAACCGGTGCCCGCTTTCCGACCCGATAATTCCAATTCCCGATGAAACTTCCAATGTACCAGGGTGGAAGAGGGGGAGAAGACCGTATGCTCGTTGCGGCTGAAACTACCCCTGCAAGTTTTGCGAAACTTTTATTTTCCCCGATACATTGGTTTCATTAAGTGGAGTAGGGAGAGGCTAAAAGTCTCGGAATGCGAGCAGGTAAATTTAACCTTGGAATTGGTGAACAAGGGTTAAAATAACCCGTGATGACTCGTATCGACGAGGAATGTAAATCTTTACAAATTCTCTTTACATGCCACTCGGGTTCTCGGGTTTCGAGTTAAATCAAGTTTTGAAAATCAATTTTAATCCACCTTCTTGTGAAAGAACGCGTTTCGAAGGAACGTTGTTTCAACGTTTTTCCTTTCCTCCGTGAATTCGAAAAACGAGACGCGCCCGAATCTTTTCGATCGAATCTCTCTCGAATAGATTCGAAAATTCTCGATTTTCGAGGAAGCGAGGAAAAACAGCACCAACATCGCTCCGTGCAGAGCTAGCCGCGTTCGAGGAAGCACGCTAGAATTAGCGCATTATTCCCGGCCAAGGTTTCCCGCGCGACTAATGGCGGCCCGTTAAGTGGCGGCTGTGGCGAGAACGAGATCCTCGAGTTCGCTCGAGAAAACTCGCCTCGATTTTTTTCCCCTCTCGTGCGGCGGGAAAACGCTTTCCCTCAACCCTCAACTCCCCTCCGGGGCTTGAATTTACGAGGAGGAGGAAGCGGCGGGGTTGGTTGCGCGCGTGCCGCTCAAAGCGCGCCCCGTTTCCCATCTCGCGTAAATTTGCGCGCGAATTCGCGGAAAAGATTCCCTCTCTCGCTGCGCGTCTGCGCGTTTCGAGGGAGGGAAGGGGGAAGGAGGCAAATTAAAAGTCGAGCAAGTCGTCCTCGCGTAATTGCCGGGGCGCGACGCGACTTATTTTCGTAGACCCTCTCGTGGCCGACGCCGACGACGAGAGAAGAGGGAAGAAAGAGAGAGAGAGAGGGAGAGAGAGAGAGTCGAAGGTGGAAACACGTGTGCTTAGACGACTTTTCTATCCTTCTCCTCACCGCTAATTCGACGCGACTGGATATAGCTTCTTCGTTACAAGTCCTTCCGGCTTGTAAACGTTTGATCGTGGAGAAAAGGGGTAGTTTCGGAGAGGAGGGTATTGAAAAAGTTTGGAATTTTGGCGGTGCATATAAATGCGTCTTATTACCCACTATTAACAGTATTATTACTTTCGACGAATAATTCTTTTCAGAGAATCGTATTACGCGTATTATGTCTAGGTAATTTCGAGTATGGAGAATCGGTGAAGGAATATTTGATAATTCCGAGTAATATAATGTTTAAACGAGGAATAATTTTACGTTCGGAAAGATATCCTCGAAAATTTGACGAGAAATCAAACTTAAATATTCATATTTTGTTATTCGATCAACGAAACTTGGCGCAGTCCATCCCGCTTGATTTGAAATCAAGGACATGATTTTCCAAGTGGTCCAATTCATTTGTGCGCATCGGACCGGGAATTCAATCTGTTAATTTCATTCGTGCGGTTTCATAGGGATTCAAATATACCTCTTAGCAGAAGGGCCACTTTGTCGTCAAGATTCAAATTGAATGAAAGAGAGAGAGAGAGAGAGAGAGAGAGAGAAAGTAAAATGGCGGCTGGATTTCCCTAGGACGCAAATAGCACTTGGACGGAGCACCGGCGGCGGTCAACCGAGTCACTTACGCTTTACAGTATCTTGGCGGAAATGCAACGTGCTCTCTCTCCCCTGTATATATACCTACATCGAAGGATGTCGCCTCGGAGAGACGTAGAAACAGGTTTTACGAGCGGCCTTTCCGCGAAATCAGAAGCAACATCGTGCGTCCCGGACGTACGCCGTTTACTTCGAGGAGGATCTATAAAATTTACACGGGCCTCCCCTCCTGTTCCCGTTCGGGGTATCATCGGGTATCCGGTGATTCTCCTTTTCGAGATAACTGGAACCGTTGTTAAAACCGATGTAACAGACGTCGGTCGCTGAGCCATTCTCCCTGCTATCGATCACGAAAATCGTTGCCGCGTAAAATAAAAGATAGTCGTCGCGTTGGTGAATCAACAGTTTCGTTGTTATTTGTTCCTTCTCTCCTGTGGACACGAGAGTCGACGGAATTGATCGAATGAAAACATATTGTAGTTCGTTTAATATCGCTATTAATATCGTATTAAAACGACGAGACAAATTTATGATTTAAATCTCTTAATATTCTCAATAATCCTTTTACTCTCCATCCTGAAATATCAGTGAACCAACAAGCTTCT